ACGAAAATCGGTAAATATCGGAAATTAACGGTCTGGTGCGGTCAAATTTTTTATTATTTTTAAATATATCCGTTACTAGCCGTTGGGTAACGGCTAGTGGGCCCCTCAACGACTATATGAGTAGAATTTCAGCCAATAGGAGCCCTACCCTACCCCAAACTTTTTTAATACCCTAAAGTTTTAAAAATTACACTTTAACCCCTTTTTTTACTTATAAATACCCCTAAATTTCATTCTTTTAAATCACAAAATTATCTATTCATCTTCTACTCTCTCAACTCTCTACTATAATATCTCAAATTCTGGTGTTACCTTACTTGGTCTTTGGAAATTAGATTTGGAGCTTCAAAATTTAATTTTCAACTTTTCACGTTCGGCTTTCGGCGGTCATAAAAGTCTACTTTTTTAAGTAGACGTTCGGTGCATTCGTTCTAACTTTTATTTTACGTTACATTTATGTTTAAATAATTATTTATTTATTTTGTGATTTATTATTTACATAATTGCATAACATTTTTGTATTATATTTAATCTCACATTTAATTTTTTAATATGGATTTTGGCAAAAATATTGTTCAAAAAGGAAAGGGAAAAAAAAGTGCATTAGAGCGTGTAAAAAATATTTGTAACTTTACATCCTCCGATAATGCAAAAACCGGTAGTTCTTCTAAATCAAAAACTAAAAAATCTACTATATTAAGAATAAATACGGATGATTATACACATGTTGATGATACGGTTTCTAATATTGATAGTAAGTCAGGATTAGATCCTTATCATGAACATTTACAGCGTCGCTTTGGTAATTTTGATGAGGATTTGCCTAGTGATAATGATAATGATATTGATAATTATACTGATACGCCTACTTTCGATGATGATGATGATGAAACTGAGCTACCTACGGCTACTAATACTCCCAGTCCCGCTCTCTTTCGTTGTCCTGCCCCAGTTCCCCCAATACATCTTAGGCCTAAGATAGAACGTGTTAAAAAATTGGTTGTTTGATAATTTATGACACAAAACGAAGATAAAACACAAGCTATTTGTAATAAATGTAAACATATATTAAATCATAAAACTGTTGGCAAATCTGGCGGGACAGGACATTTGAGTAGTCATTTAATGTCTTGTTGTATAAATGAATTTTTGCATGCTAAAGCGGTAGCGGAAGCTAAAAGAAACGGTACCCCCCTTCCTGAAAATGTAGGAGTAGGCGGCTCTAAAATGGTACAAACACAATTAAATCGTCTAATGTTTCTGGATCTAGTTTACCACCGTCATATAGTAGAGAAAAAGATCTTGAAGAACTAGTTAAAATTATATGTGTTATGGGTTTGCCGTTTAGTTTTGCTGAAAATCTTGATTTTATACATTATATTCAAATAATTATATAATCCAAATTTTAAAGGTTTTGCTAGAAATACAATAAAAAAGGTTGTATTTGATAATCATGCACAACATTTTTAATATCTTCGTCGTTTATTTTATTATAATACTTGTAAAATAGCTATTACTTCTGATATGGATCGTAGTATAAATGGTAACGATTATTTGAATGCTACTGCACATTGGATTGATGAAAATTGGTATATGCAAAAAAGAATTTTAGGTTATAAATGTTGTCAAATGCAAAAAACCGGTAGTTATATTGCTCAAACTATTTTAGATATTTTACAAAGTTATGGAATATGTAATAAAAAAAGTAGTATAACCTTAGATAATGCTTCAAGTAATAATTCTGCTGTTGAATATTTAAAAACTACACTTTGTCCTTTCTATGGTGATAATTATCATATTAGGTGTAGTGCACATATATATAATTTGATGGTTAGAGATGGTGTAAATATGTATGATAACGGATGTACGAAAGTTGAAAATGCATGTCATTTTATATTTAAATGTCAAGTTAAGTCTAGGCGTAAAGATTTTCAAAATCGCTGTTTTGAAAATAATCTTCCACCTAGAAAAATTCCAAAAACATTGGCTACTAGATGGAATACTTTATATGAAATGCCTGTAGTCGCTTATGAATATCGAATACCCTTGTAGATGGTTTGGAATGCTCATAATTCTGATATGACATATAGACTAGATGATAATGATTGATGTGATATAAATGAACTTATAGATTTCCTAAAAGTTTTTTACTTAACTACAAAAAGAATTTCTGTACTTTATAATGCATCAATTGTACTGTTTTGCCTGATATTTGTATGATTTCTTCTAAATTATATAAATTTAAAAATAAACCAAGATTTCAACAAACCATTAAAAAAATGATTATAAAAATTTAAAAAATATTATATTCCTATTCCTCAAATTTATTTAACTGCATGTTTGTTACACCCTAAGTATAAAGATTTCGGTTCATCAAGAATGATTGAAAAAAATATATTTTAACTTAGATATTAATGATGTATTAAAAGAAATTCCTAGCTGTCAACAAGTTAAAGATAGCATAAAAATTGAAGCTAGAAAATTGTATGATTTATATAATGCTAATATAAATTTATCAAGTGAAAATGAACCTGAAAGCTCTAGGGTTAGATTTGATGAAAATAATATTGATAATTATTTAGAGGATTATCTTGAACTTTCTCACGATAATAGAAATGATTTTGATGCCTATATTTATCAAAATACAGAACCTACTGAAGATATTCTCAAATGGTGGAGAGATCGCACCAAAGAATTTTCAAAACTAGTACCGATGGTTCGAGATATATTAGTAATGCAAGCGTCGTCGGTAGCTTCGGAAAGCGTCTTTAGTGCAGTAAGGTTTCAACTTGGAGAACATAGGCATTCACTAGCAGCCGACAGCTTAGAGATATCGGTATTATTTCGAGATTGGATTAATGCTGAGAGAAGAAATTTGGGTCGTTAACGACTACCGACCAAATTTCAAGATGACGTTGATGAAGTAATGCAGAATTATAGTGACAACGGGATTGAAGCAATGGAAGATCTTTCTATTCAACCTATTCCCGTACATGTTACTAAAGAAATATTAAATGATTTGCGAAGGGATTTATATGGTGGCACCAACTATTAGTAAAAATATGATAATTCGAGATTTAATTAAAACTAATATTTTTGTAAATGTAATTGTAATATCAAATAAATATTAATAAAAATATAGGCTATTCGCCTTAATTTGTTTTTTAATATTGTTGTATTAAATTTAATTTTTAATATAGTCAATTTTTAATTTTATAACTTTAAAGTTTAAATTCAAAAATTTCAAACTTTAAGAGTTTGAAATTTAAATTTTATAACTTTAAAATTTGAATTTAAAATTTTCAAACTTTAAGAGTTTGAAATTTAAATTTTATAACTTTAAAGTTTGAAATTTAATTTTTTAATTGCTTAATTATTATAATAAAAATTATGTTCAATTAAAAAAATTATTTTTTTTAATTACCGGTCCGTCTTGGTTACTGGTCCGGTATACTACCGGTTCTCTTTCAGACCGGGACGGAACATTATTATTTTTACTGGTTTCCTGGACCGGTCCGGTTCTCCCGGTTCCGGTATCGCTGCTAGCATGACAGACATAATTTTCAAACTCTTGGCGCACAATCACTTAGATTGGGAACTTTCTCGCGGTAGATCAAAATATCCAGATGCGAGATTGAAACTGACGAAGCTCAAAGGAAAACCCACATGCCTTCTGATAAGGGTGTGGTTTGGTTGTGGTGGAAGTCGCTCCTCTGCTTGCGTCCTAAGAGTTTGACATTCCTCTTTGGGATTGTGTCCCAGTTCGCTGCTAAGAAAAAGTTCCAGGTTGTGCTGCATCCTTTTGATGTCTTCCACACCTGTGGTATGTTTTGGAGAATTCATCCTTTTGGATGCCCTCGACAAAGACTGAGATAAAACTTGTCAGCATAAAAATGCGATTTAAATGGGAGACAACGTCTTTTACCGTGTTGACACTTGGTCGTTCTCCTCAACATTTGACGTCAACTCAATTGGTTGACGTAAAGCAAATAAAGCTTATGTCTTGTGATTGCAATATAATCTCCAATGTATTCTTCATTTGACGTCAATATAAAGGGAAGTTGATGCAGTATGCTAGTATTTCTCTTGATGTCGTCTTTGATGCTCTTCTTGATGTTTTATCAAAATAAAAGAATGCAGTTGATACCGATGGATAAATATTTCTCTTGGAGTACGCCATTTTCTTTTTTTGGGTAACGCATGCTTTCTAGTGGGGATTGAATATCTTCCCGCGATATGTAAATTTCAATGAGGCATGGAATCTCCTCGTGATGTATAAAATTCTGCGAGGTACGAAATCTTCCCGCTAAGCATAAATTTTGACGAGGCATGGAATCTTCTCGTGATGCATAAATTTTTGCGAGGCATGGAATCTTCTCGCGATGCATAAATTTCAACGAGGCATGAAATCTTCTTGTGATGCATAAATTTCAACGAGGCATGAAATCTTCTCGCGAAGATTAAATTTCGACGAGGCATGGAATCTTCTCGTGTTGCATAAATTTGACTCGCGATGCATGATCTTCCGTGATGCATGAATATCGACTCACGATACATGATCTTCCGCGATTCATGAATTATGACTCGCGATACATGATCTTCCATGATGCATGTATATCGACTCGCGATGCATGATCTTTCGCGATGTATGAATATCGTATCGCCTCCAACGATGATAACGGTAAAATGAATTCCAGATAGTATATCATCTTGATCAATAGTAAAATAATTATCCCCTCCGGGTAATGCATAGTATCATATCCGACATTATGATGCAAATGACTTTCTTTACGGAAATCGTAAACTTTCCTTGAGATTTTTGCTTGATTCACCTTCGAATCTAGCTGGACGTTCTTTATAAGTTTCATGTTGTTGGAAATTTATTGAAATAAACAATTCATATTCCCAAGTCTCCGACATAAGCGATATAAAATGATTCCTGCTTCTAAGAAAAATTATTGATTTTGGGATAGTTTTCTCCTCCTTTGACTTCTCCAAATTCATCCATCGGAAGAATTTGCTGATTTCAGAGCAAAGCTATAAATCTGCGTCCACAGAAAAATTTTCAGTTTTTAAAAGCAAACTGATCTGTGTCGATTTCTTCAGCTGTCTTCTCCTTATCTTGCTAACTTCGGTTGATTTTCCAACCTCCCGACTCTTGATGGATGAGACAAAATATTTTATGCCAAAACAAATGAAACGTAAAAGGGAAAAATTAAGAGAAATAAATTTTCGAGAAATAGTATCTAAAAAAGGTCTCTACCAAGTCATGTCATATCAGACTTAACAAACTTCTTTGATTCTTATACTTGAAGGCCTATCTGATCATTCGCTGGGGAGTTTTCAGAGTCACTCCGGACTTGCGGAGAAATCTGTGCTGAAATTTTGAGGTCGTCCCTCAAAATTCTGTCCCAGTTAACTGTCTTGTTTATCTTTCCACTGCAACTGAGCAGATCGAGGAATTTTTGAGATCTTCTCAAAAATTATGTCCCAGTTGCAAATCTAGAAATATCTTTCGTCTTGACTTGCTGAGGAAAAATCTCTTTTTAAAGAATTTTTGAGTCCCTCTCAAAAATTTTGTCTCAGTTTCTATTGTAAAGAGGAAAAGAAATCTTACGGAAGATATGACCGAACCCTTGAGGCACCTACGTATCCCGTTGAGGTAGGAATCAAGTCAAACGTAGTTCTCCCCCCCTCAAATGTTGGCAAAATAAGAAGTTTACAAAGAACCGACCGAGGCCGACATAGGCCACCTACATATCTCATTCTTGAGAATTCAGGTCGAACGTAGTTCAACACAAGAAAATATTAAAAGGGTAAATGGGGTGACCGAAGACGACATAGGCCGCCTACTTATCTCATTCTTGCGAATTCAGGTCAGACATAGTTCATTACAAGAGGGGTAAAATTTTAAGCAAAAAAATACAAGCAAACAGAATGATTACAAGTAAATAACAGAAATGCAAACCGAAGCTTCACACGTAGTATCTCTTGACAACATCCGAGTTGATAGGTTTAGGTCATACGATGTCATCCATCTCTGACAGGACCAAATCACCTCCAGTTAATACTTTACGAACCATGTAAGGACCTTGCCAGTTTGGTGCGAACTTTCCTTTGTACTCGTCTTAATGAGGAAAAATACGCTTAAGAACCAACTAACATACTTCAAAAATTCAGGCTCTTACTTTTTGTGAAAGGCACAAACCATTCTCTGCCAATATAATTGACCATGACAGACGGCAACCATTATCTTCTCATCAATCAAAGTTAGTTGATGAATCCGCTTGCTAACCCATTCAGCGTTACTTAACTCAGCTTCTTGGATGATTCTGAATGACGGTATCTCAACTTCAGCAGGTATGATTGCCTCTGTTCCATATACTAATAAGTATGGAGTAGCACCAGTCGATGTTCTGATAGTCGTTCGATAACCCAGTAAAGCATATGGTAACATCTCATGCCAACCTCGATGCTTGTCAATCATTTTCCTCAAAATATTTTTGATATTCTTATTGGCGGCCTCTACAGCTCCGTTCATTTGGGGACGATAAGCAGTTGAATTCCGATGAGTGACCTTAAACTGTTCACAAATATCTCTCATCAGGTGACTGTTGAGATTTGTACCATTATCAATAATGATGGATTCTGGCACTCCAAATCTGCATATCAAATTGTTGGGAACAAAATCAGCCACAACTTTCTTGGTTACTGACTTGTATGAATCTATTTCCACCCATTTGGTGAAATAATCAATAGCAACCAAAATAAATCTGTTTCCATTAGAAGCGGCTGGATCTATTGGACCGATGACATCCATTCCCCAAGCTACAGATGGCCAAGGTGAACTCATAGCATTAAGTTCGTGAGATGACACTCTGATCAAATCACTGTGCCCTTGACATTTGTGGCATTTTTGCACAAACTTGCAACAATCATTCTCCATAGTCATCCAGAAGTAACCGGCTCGAAGGATCTTTCTTGCCAAAGTGAGCCCATTCATATGTGTGCCACAAACTCCGCATGTATATGTGATACGCTCAAACTTACTTCTCAAATGAGAAGTAAAGCGGTCGCGTCAAGTAAATAACCCAACTAGTGAGGTTGGGATCGTTCCCACTAGTGAGGTTGGGATCGTTCTCACAGGCACGACGGTCCGTCGAGGGTCTTCGTTACCAAATACTTCAACTCTTGAAATCTGGGTACTGGGATCACTTCTCTGATCTTCGCGACGAACCTGCAGGACGGGCCGTCATATCCATGACGGACCGTCACAAGCTTCGTAATTCCACACTTTGTCAGACTTCCCCATCTTCCTTCAGCAGCTTCTCTACGCTGCCACCTACGGACCGTCACAAGCACAACGGACCGTCATAAGCTCCGTAGGTGGTCTCTTCTTCATTTTTCGCTCAAAATCTCCGCATTCAGCTTTAGACAGATTTCCTGCAAAACAAAGAAAAACTTATATCAAAATTAGCACAAAAAGGCTTTTGGACACAATAAACTTAAGGAAAAGGTATTAATTATACCGTGAAACCACGGTATATCAACACCCTCAACTTAAATTCGTTGTTTGTCCTCAAGCGACGCACTATGACTCACTACATAATCTTTGTACAATAGTATTCATGTTTTATCCTTTGCAATCATTTGGCTATCAATCCCGACTAATCCCATCAAATCTATGCATGCTCTCACTATTAGGCTTGACTTTTGTGGGATTCGAACATGACACAGACTCACCATGCACTAACACCTATCCTCTTCAATTTCTCACCGAGGTGCTAATAATTCCGGTATTGCAACTAGTGTCCTCACTTTAGAACAAAATCCTCATTTTTCACACAATGATTTCAGTTTGAGTATAAGGATTACATTTCAACACTCGCTCTCAGAACAAAGTCACACTCATTCATACCTATTGCCATAAGCTTGCCCTTATTTTCACTGCCTTAAGTTCGCTATACAACCCTTAGGATCACGATAGGACTTTTTTAGCTTGTAACGTAGGCTCAGAGTCAGGTAGGGTATGTTTAGGTATACTTTAGTGACTTTTTGCCCTCCTTGACATATCGGCTAAACCTTCCGCTCTATATCACTTTATCTTGCCCAGTTTCTCCTATTCTTTCACCTTGCTGTTTCCCTTCTTTCTTCATTTGTGTAAGTGACTCTTTTCTTTTCTTGTTTGTAATTCTTGAATATTTCTCTTTTTTTTTCAACGAGTTCTTGAGTCACTTTAATTTTGTTCTTTCTCTCTCTTTGTTCTTTCAACCCCACTTTCCAGAGCATTCCTCAAAACAACCACCCTCAACTCATGGCTTTGCCATGAGTCAAGGTACACAATACCCAAAATCGGGTCAGGGCCATAACAAAGGTTGTTTATACATTAGCCACCCTCAACTTATGCTTTTGGCATAAGCTGAGGTGCACATGTCAAAGGAGGGACCAGGGCCAACATATTGTTCCCAGAAAAGATCAGTTGGGGTGAAAAAGAAAGGTCTAATTTTAAGCTCAAATTATTTGGATCAACGAAGGATAACTTTCATTTGGTTTCTTTTATTTAGGCTAGAAATGGGCTATATTGAATAAGGGCCTATGATCCTTTCCTAATTGTATGTTACAGCTTACTTTTAGCAGGACTAACCAGGCAAGTTCTAGCTCAGTATCAGTAGTGGATTATTCAACTTTCCTCACACTCACTTGACATCTCATCACTATACCAGATTATCAGACACCTAGTTCGACTTGAAGGTTTAGGGCAGTGCAATGGTGTAACTCTATTTCATGTTTAGATCCACACAATTATCAGTTACTACACCTTTTCATGCAACCTTTTCCAGTTTTATCGGGATATCATTTCAGCCATCATGCTTCAGAGTTAAACTATGTACAAAAGATATAACGTGCCGGTTCAACAGAAAAAGTAATCAGTCTTTTGGGGAAAAGGAACACAGGCAAGAAAACCCCAAAAGAGGATAGTGAGTTGGGCTACTCAGACTTCACCCTAACACTCACTTTCCATTTACTCCACCCCCAACAAAAAAGCATGCAATTGTCCCCAATGCATAAAAAAATCTAAAGATTAGAGGGGTAGATGAAGCAAACCTGTGGCGCATAGCGCCGTCGATCAACAAGCTGGTGGGTCTGGTTTCCCAGAACCCACATCCTCTGCAATCTGGACACCCTTAGTGATGTCCTCAGCAACAACTGCACCCTCAGTAGTGCCTCCTGCTGTCTCTACAGTGCGGGAGCTAGACGCCCCAGCCGCTGTCTGTGATGCTCTGATTTGGTGTGCCTCCACCTCAGCAAGTGAGGCTCTCCTCGCGGCCTCCATCTCTCGGCGCTCCTTCTTTCTTGCTCGCGCCTCATCCTCTGATCGACCCCTCCGCCTCTTGGCACTCTCTCTCGGGGAAGATGGGGGAATGTCTGGAGTAGGAAACAGAGCCGCCAATACAGTATCCTCAGCAGGCTCGACAGACTCTGACACTCTTGCCGCTAGGATCGTGTCGATGTCTGCACGAAGACTGGCGACTGCAGCCTGGAGAGTCGACATATCTACCGGAGGGGCTGGTCGAGCTAATACTCTCAATTCAAAGGCATCGAGGCGCTGGTTAACCTCAGCAATCTTCCACTGCATCTGCCTCTCCATACGTGCCTCAGACTCAACAATAGACTTCTGCATCCATGGCTGGATATGATGCAGAAGAGTGGCCATTTGTGCCTCCAGTTTTTGGACTCGGGCAAGCGGGGCCGGTGTCGATAGAGGGGCTGTGCTGCTACCCGGGATAGACTCGACCGGGGTAGTGTCCGTGGATGCCTGTGTAGCTGTGCGAGCCTGGGCCACCGTATCCGCAAGGTCATCAGATAGTGGTGGCAGCTCTGGACGGGGCCTTAGACGTGGGGCCAACTCATTGGCCTCGTCTCTGATGAGGCCGATGTCAACGGTACCCGGCGGGGTCCTCAACTGATCTATGTGCCATATGGGCACACCTGCAGACCTGCAAAGGGCAAAGATTATGCACGGAAAGGGGTAGGTGGTGGTGACCTTGAATGCCCTCTCGTGCATGACTGCCTGGAGAAGCCATGCATAGTCCACCTCGAAGCCGGCTATCATCGCCGCCATCAGCACTGCTCGATCCCAGGTGACTATGTTATCAGCAACTGTGGGGGAAAGGCAGTGACGCACGAGCAGCCACAAGAACTTGGCGACGAACGTGAGGTTGGCCTTCTTGATGGCCCCCTTTGGCTCGGTGACCCAATTTGCACCCTCTCTGTCGACTGATAAGTGTAGGGCCATCCACCGCTTGGTGGTCTCCCTCAGTGCTGGCTCTCGCAGGAACTGTCCATCCTTCACTACCTGCCAGCGGTAGTCAAACTCGGCAGTGATGGGGGTCCGAGTAGCATCTGCACTCTCGCCGTATAGGAACCGGCGGATGGCGGGCAGGGAAATGTCAACCTGCACGCCCCGGACTAGAACCTGCTCCAATGGGGCCTGTTTTGCGGGAGCAGCCCGCCTGTCGATCTGTGATCGGAGAGTCGCTACGTAGGACGCGTAGAACTCACGGACCATCTCCTCACTGTATCGTCCCCACGGACGGGCTGTCCACTCTAGGCGATGCCTGGTGAATATGTTGTGGATCTCCGGCATCGAGGGGAGACTCCCTGTAAGTACCCGTCGCTCCAGGGTGAGTGTTCGAGTCATTACTCCTTTATCGGTCAAGAACTTCGCATCGGAGTAAACCTGAAACTGGCCTTCAACGCACCACCGGTTTGGCTGGTCAGAGGCTGGGGTGGGGACCGGGGCTGGTGCGCCGGATGTGGAGTCTGAACTGTCAGCCTCATCAGACGAGGCCGACGCTGCAGCAGTGGCGGGTGCGGGAACCTCAGCAGATCCTGAAGCTTCCTCGGACCAGGATGCTCCCAAGGAGCCAGACGCTCCTTCCTCGTTTGTGGCCGACCCAGAGGGTGTGCCGCTCAGTGTGCGCTCCTCATCAGACTGGGAGGCAGTGACTACGCCGGACGCCACCGTCTTGGGTGTGGCTCTGGGGGCACGTGTAGCACGGGAAGGGGCGGAGGTGCCTGGGGGCATGTATTCAGGGTCCCGCTCATCATCAAACCTGATGATCAAGCGTGCTGACGGGGTAACAGACTTAGATCGCCCGCGTGAATAAGTGCGGTCTTGCTTGGGTGCCATAGTCGATAGTACCTGTAAAGGGGCAATATTAGTATGAGTAGTGGCAATCAAATCAGGCAAGATCATATGACATGAAACTTTTTAAAAAAAGTGTATTAGTAATATTGAAACTGTACCACACGACGGGACCTATGACGACTCGTTGTGACTATGACGGACCGTCATGAGGTCCGTCGTGTTATACTTGGTATATGTATATATAAGGAACCCTGAATGAGGGGTCGCTGACCATCATGACGGTTAAGCAGGACGGACCGTCGTGGGTATGACGGTCCGTCGTAAGTGTCTGTCGTTGGACACTTAGAAAATGATGGGAGACCCTCAGAAGAGGGTTCGCTGACTATCATGACGGTCGTGCAGGAAGGACCGTCGTGGGTGTGACGGTCCGTCGTAAGTGTCCGTCGTTGGACACTTGGAAAATTTTTGGAGGCCCTTATCATAGGGGTCTCTGACCATCATGACGGTCGTGCAGGACGGACCGTAGTGGGTGTGACGGTCCGTCGTAAGTGTCCGTCATTGGACACTTTGAAAATTTTTTGGAGACCCTTATCATCGGGGTCTCTGACCATCATGCCGGTCGTGCAGGACGGACCGTCGTGTGTATGACGGCCCGTCGTAAGTGTCCG